AAAATGACCAAGCTAGCAAGGGTTAGTAGACACCTCAACAGGAGGAACATTATGTATAAAATGACCAAGCTAGCAAGGGTTAGTAGACACCTCAACAGTAGGAACATTATGTATAAAATGACCAAGCTAGCAAGGGTTAGTAGACTCCTCAACAGTAGGAACATTATGTATAATTATGTACCGTGCAGGGGTAATATAAAATCAAGTTTAGGCTACCGCCGGGGGTAATATGAAATCGATATCAGATTACCGGGAGGTAATTTGAAAAGGGGGGGGGTGTAGCTTGAAGTCTTCACACCGGAAATAAGTGTGTCTAAGGTTGTGTAGCTGATGTCAGCTCCAGGAAAACTTTATTTTACCAAAGTTTCAGCTTACGTCTTATTCGGAGTATGGAGTTTTTCAATAAGACAACTAAGAAGAAGACTTAAGCCGACACGTTGATGAATTAAACCAATCTTTTTTAAACAATTACTCTGAATGACACCAGAAAAACTCCTGATCAAAGCAAGCTACCTACACAGATCAGAACTGCAAACTAAACCAGAAATTAATACGGCTAATTCAATATACTATACGCGCGTTTTTTGTATATGGAGAGTGAAGATTGTATAGATGTGTATAATATACCCAGTATATGGAAAGTGAAGGTTGTGTAGATGTGTATAATATACTCGCATTTGGAAAGTGAAGGTTGTATAGATGTGTATAATATACCCGTATTTGGAAAGTGAAGGTTGTGTAGATGTGTATAATATACCCGTATTTGTAAAGTGAAGGTTGTATAGATATGCATAGCGTATATGGAAAGTGAAGGTTGTATAGGTGTGTATAATATACCCGTATTTGTAAAGTGAAGGTTGTATAGATATGCATAGCGTATATGGAAAGTGAAGGTTGTATAGATGTGTATAATATACCCGTATATGGAGAGTGAAGCTGGTATAGATGTGTATAATATACCCGTATATGGAAAGTGATTACATGATCTACCTATCACTGTAATTTTACTTACATTTTTCTATTTGTATTTATGCCAAAGCTGCTAAGACTATTTGCCGCCGTCAATAATTCTGACCTACTGACCAGTCAGCAGCACCCTAGTATATCCTCCATCCACAATAAGGGATTGAACATACTCTTATAACGCACCACAGCTTGTAATGCGAGGTCGATTTTGTGCTATCGAACAGGTTCGAATCCAGCTCGCCAGCTCCGAGATCCTAAGCTCTAACACAGGACCGTGCCCTTATAAGTTGCTATCATTGGTTTAAAACTTGAGTTTAAAATGAGCTCATTACACATATTATGAAGTTCATTATATCTAGGTCAAACATAAAGCTGGATAAGTTAGCCACTTAAAGTGTAATATAAGTGTAAAGCTGGATAAGTTAGCCACTTAAAGTGTAATGTAAGTGTGCTTATGTGCTATCTATTTTAGATGCTTCTAGTTTTATGTGCGGAACATTAGTATTAATCATACGAGAAGACATATCACGTGACACTAATGAAACGGATACTATTTCGTGAGGCTTAACAGTGATGAACATTTCAGGGCTATACGACCAACTATGTATGTCTATCCCTCCAACTTACCTCATCACAAGCTGTACATCTCGGTTTCAGACTCTCCGCATGGTGACGACCACAGTACAGTTTGTTTTCTCTATGGAAGTAGATCAAGTCGACGAGCAGCTCACCACAAACCGAGCATACAAAGCACGCGGGGTGCCAGCACGTGTTGGGTCCGGCACGAGAAGCAAAAACACAAATATCTCCACCTCCTATCGCCTCTTCACACTAAACCATTAAAAAACAACAATCAGTAAAACACAGATATCTCAACCTCCTATCGCCTCTTCACACTAAACGATTAAAAAACAACAATCAGTAAAACACAGATATCTCAACCTCCTATCGCCTCTTCACATTAAACAATTAAAAAACAACAATCAGTAAAACACAGATATCTCAACCTCCTATCGCCTCTTCACACTAAACATTTAAAAAACAACAAACAGTACATTGAGCTAACTTGAATATAAAGCTACACGTTAACACTAACATAGTTCGTTAATGGAGGGACCAGGAATTGTCCAGTGGATCGAAGGGTCCGAGATTCGAGACATGATGCCTCCGAACACACTCTTTATTTTCAGGTGTAGGCGCGTTACAAAAGCGACAGTCACTTCCGTAATTCGATTCAAAGATACGAGAAAATCCTTATTGTCTGTAGTAGAAATAAAAGACGGCTATACCTGAGCCCTAGAGACCTCTGACCTGGTAGTTTAGCCTCCTTGAGCATAAGGTGTGGTATAGGTTTAAAGTTCAAATTTTATTTATTTACTTTTTTAACAAAATAGCAGCACATAGGTAGGGAGTCTTATAAATTTTTAATATTAAATCAATATTTCTATACAAAAAAATCACAAATCACTAGTGCGTTTCCCACACAAATATTAGGAATTAAGTACCGAACCTACCTTAAGTGTTGAAAATTAACTTAAGGACTTGCCAGTTGTCTACGTTTTCTACAGTTTGACCAATTTTCTGAAATGAAAACATTAACCTATGGTCTTACCATTTCCTGAAATAAAGACATTAACCTATGCTGTCATTTGTTAATGACCAAAATTCTACAGCTACCTAAATACGGGGTTCTGAAAGGGTCAAACTGCTTTCTAAGTTCTCGAATTTTAACTTCCAAGAACTTTAGTTTCGTATTTCACATGATACAACCAGCAAGTTTTTATTGACCGTTCATACACATACTGATGCAACATACACCCATACAAATACACGTGTAAGCACTGTTCCATCTTAGTGTTAGCGCGGGGTGGCAGGTGATACTGTTCTTTGATGACAGAGGCTGTTTCGTTGATTCGCTGTGACCACTGAGGACGAACTAGCCGAGAGAATGAAAGAAAAACTAACAACACTGTAAGAGTTTTCTTCTAAATATAAACATTCACTGGGGTGAAACATGTATACTTAGGATTCGATTCATGCAAACAATATGTCGAGTTTCAAAAAAAAAAAAATAATAACGTCTGTTAAGAACAGATGGTTATTTGCAAGCAAAACTAGCAAACTACAAATGATTATGTCAAACAGTAATTGTTATCCTTAAGCCCAGCGATAAGCCTAAATTCGGTTCAAAACTTTATACACAAGTGCCAAAATACTATAATTATAACTTAAATTCGGTGTTTGATCCCAGTGGTGGAGACAACGCAGATAGCCCGTTGTATAGCTTTGCAATTAAATAAACAAATAGTAAAACAACCTTGAATATCTGAATACAACAAACTTGTCAGCTTCCACTGCAATCACATGTTCATATTTACATGTAATAGTTGATAGGGAGATATTACCAGAGTAACCAAGTCCCTGTACAATACTCTTCTCCTACATACTCACCAATGTTAAGAGGGAAAAAATAAAGTTTTACAAAGAAAAGTATTTAGTTTTTGTAGAATTTGCGGACATTAAACTTTTTATCTTCAAATATCGGTATAAAAACTAAAATAAACATATTTTATATGGATCGTGGTCAGTGAATCGTAAACCCCAAGAAGAAACTGTGTGCGTTTAATAAGTAACTAAGAGAAAAAAAAATATCGCATTTCAATAAGAGAAGTTAGAGCCTGATTTAAGAAACCGAGGAAGTATTGCCCGTCCGTAAAAACGGGCAAACTAAGCCTAATATCGTGATTAACTTTTCACTGATTTATATTTAACCATCCTCAAAAAGTGGGAAACTAATTCATTAAGAACAGGGTTTATTATAAAAAGAGAGAGACGTGAATTTACAAGATTGAATAAAGAAAACAACATCGACAAAGACGAAGAAAACGATTATAATGCGACATTTGACAAACGCTGCAATTTAACAGTTTACGGAAAAACAAGCTCATTTTAACTGTTAAGCGTTGTTATGTCGCTGTGATATTTTTCTGTACCATCATGGAAGCTAATATTCAAGGTAAACTTGGTCATATTCTTGTGGAGTTGATATTATTTTTTTCTGTACCATAATGGAAGCTATTACTCAGGGGAAACTTGGTTAGACTCTTGTAGAGTCCTATCACGTACAAATAGTTTGCTTGCTGACAAAAAAGTTATTTACTAAAACCCCCGATATTCATGAAGTAGAACACCTGATTTTCTACTTTCGATCCCTCTCCAATAAGCAATAAAGTCTAGCCTCTCATTTTTGTCTATCGCCCCTCCCCAACAAGTAATAAAATAAAACTTCTAGTTTTATCCACAATAAAGAATGAAGTAAAAATATGATTTTGATATTTCGTCATCTCCCTCACAAAAATAAATTGCTCTTAATTTCTTCCACCGATTCTCTCCCCAACAAGCAATAATGTGTAATCGCTGTCTTTAGATCATTACAGTATAATGAAGTCTTTAGATCATTACGAAGAAAAAAGTTAATCAAATACTTTTTATATTTATTTTTCCAAATTTAGAATTTTATTCCACAAGTTTCAAAGCGAAAATCTGGTTTAAACGCTTTCGCGATAACAGGCCTTTAAGGTTTCAAATGTCAAACCGTGACAAAGAAAATTTGCACCTAATATTCAAGTTTTGGGGATATTAAAAGGTTACAATATCACCATCTTTACGAAGTTTAAGATGTCATACATTTCATACTTCTACTCTTATTTGATTGTAATTAATCCATGCCATGACCTTTATAATATGAAGTAGATGTCCTGTGTTGCTCTATCCTTGCCTCAGCGTTCAATTAATCAGGATTTAAATTACCTACTAGAATATATATTTTAGTCCTAAACTTTTGACTGAAACTTTGCTAACAGCAAGAGATAAACCTTTGAAACTGAATCTTTAAGAAAAGCAGAGATAAGCTTTAGCCTTGAACGGGCTATAATTTATTTTCAATTAAATACTATTAAATAAGTTTGCATCATGATTCGCGGGTTAGTTTGTTTAGTTAGATTTCACACAAAACTACTCGAGGGCTATATACGCTAGCCGTCCCTAATTTTGAAAGGATAGCAAAAATCTTATTTCAAAGTACCCAGTATGAACGAATTGGGACGTTGTTGTGTTCAGTAAAGCTTTCACCTTCCTCTATAGATCATTTTACAACAAACAAACAATCTGCTGGGACTTACTAAGAAAACTTACCACAAAAAGCCAATTTCTCACGTTTATCAAACCGGATGTTCCCAAGGAGGTCAAAGGTCAAATCCCAGTGGTACAAATGTTGCAAGTGTGTATGGTGATTAAGGCTCACCAGACAAAATCACGCACTCACAAAACGGAGACAAATTCTGTCTTCTAATTAGAATCACTCAACATTAAGTGACTTTGAAGTAATAAAGAACTATTATGATTTATGAGTAAGTTAAAATAGGTAAAAAACAATAACTGGCCTTTAGTAAGCGAGTTGCTACTGAGAGAAAAGGCAATGAGTAGTACTTTCAATGGTATGTCGTAAACGCTAGAGGAAAGCTCACCCCTTAATGTCGCCCCTCCCCTTCCATTCTGTATGTCCCTCTGAACCCTCACATCCTCAACACCCTAACTTCCTAGCTTCTACTTATGGTACATTGTACTTTTATGACTAGTAAGATAACGTCATCCAGGCTTGGAAAGCTCCAGATGGGATGATTCATTCCTGTAAAACGGCTGAAAGTCTTTTTTCCATGGGACACTTCATCACCATCACAATAGAAAAAGAGGACAAGATAGTAAAACGAAATTATATTATTGATTAGGAGGAATAGTTATAAATTAACTCGCTGTGTGCTTTTCACAAAATGTTAAAATGAATCAAATAATCTTATGTGTGTATGTACATATATAGGATTCATACTGGGTTACGTACACGATTATACATGAATACAAACAAAATGCACACACACACACACACATATATATATATATACACTATGCATATAGATGAATGTGATTATTTGTCTGAATGTTGCAGTGCTGTTTATATGCATTGTAACTTTCTGACAGAAGAAAAGTTAAAGTTTTATCGAAATAAACGAAACGTTGACAGTTACTGAAAGCACAGAATGATCGAACAAGAAGCTTGTTCATAAGAGAATAGATCCAATTTCTTGGTTGAACGGTTTTTCCTCAGTTTATTTCTGGTCACTTTCCAATCTTTCCGCTATCTAGCTGATTAGATTACGCGATCAGAAAAAGTCATTTCTGGCATCATTCCGGTCATCTACGCATACGCGAAGGTCAACTAGAATAGAAAATAACAACGATAGAAGGAGTGGTCTTTGCCTTGTTTAGAAATCAATAGCTAATGACCATTACCCCACTGCACATGCTGACTGGCCAGTACTCCATTTTCTATATAGAAACGTAATTCTTCCACGCTCCAGATGAAAGCGTATTGGGTCTTACGATACGATGAATTCTGGTACTCTAATGGTGATTATGGATAACTTCGGTCAGCTATAAAATAATCTTTGAATAAAATCTCCGTATCTAGATCATGAACAAAGACGACTTATATATATGACTATTTAATAATTCCCCACTATGGTATATTAACACGTATATCTGGTTGAGGATACTTTAATCAAAATACTTAACACTAGTATTTGGTGAATCCAAGTACCCCAATTAAGGATACTTTAATCAAAATATTTAACACTAGTATTTGGTGAATCCAAGTACCCCAATTAAGCACATTGTCCAACACCAGCGTTTGATGAATCGAAGTAATCTAATTAAGCACATTATTCAACACCAGTGTTTGATGAATACATGTATCTCAATTAAGCACATTATCCAAC